CAGATTTTAATGATGCAGACCCTACTTTAGTGTTTCTTTAAAGAATTTCTTTAAAGTAATCCATCATCCCGGATGACCTTGGTGTCAAGATTTAATTCTAAGATCTGACCCACATGCAGAAAACCAAACAGAGAGACCAGGGGGAGGTGTAACAGGTTTATTGAGAACTGGTAGAGATGGGTCCAGTGCTGCTCTGAACACTGGCGAACCGGGACTAGAAAGTGAAGGGGAAGATCCAGTGGTTAGTTCAGGCTCAGTGGGAAATTTGAGCTTCAATTTGCAAAAGGGAATAAAGGCGACAGGACTCACTTTTCCAGAAAAGGCGTCTGAATCCAGTCGATGTGGGTTGTTCCAGTAATTGACTTGCTCGTTGGAGGGCGGACAGGGTTTACCCAGATTGAGGTGTTTTTCTTAGAGGAACGGAGGAGCTGACTGCCACTTAGATTTCCAATTGTACTTGAACGGTTTCTTGAGGAGATGACTCCCCTGCTCAGTGAGAAGCTCAAACAATCCTTTGGGGAAAAAGTGGATCCAAACCTTCTGTTTGAATCCCCAGCTCAGTTTGACGCTCAGAGAATCCTTCCAGGGGGAGAAGGTCATAAAACATCCAGTTTGCAGGATGACTTTCTGCCAAGAGGCAAAGACAAAAACAACAAGGTTAAGACTCAGGTTGACAAAAACATAGTTTGACTCGGCAAAACTCAGCTTCGCTAGAGTACCCAAAACTGGCAAACACTCTGGCATTGAGGTAGTGGTAGTTAGCAGCTTAAGAGTCTTCCGTTAATGAGGCAACCATCCAAGTTGAACTGTTCAGCAGGAGCAGTTGTACCTGAAGATCCTCCAGAATTAAAGCTTTTTCACTCAGTTTGGTTCAGACTCATTATAATCAACACATATCCTACTTTATTGTTAAGTTCTATTCATATTAATAGAATCGATGCTTCTTGTGTTTTTCCACCTCTAGAAATGATAAACGTTTCTTCCTGAAGACTCAAAACAAACGGGAGATAAAATTCCTTCTGGCCAACCTGAAGATCTACATGGAGCATCTGAGGAATTACCCACATTCACTGCTGGTCAAGCTCTTAGGTAGAATTCACACACCTGACCCACAACCTGAACCTGCTTTTAAACCAAACATCCTCAGCCACAGCTAGAGATGACCTGCAGTTTTCAGATTACAACAGAAACATTTTAACGGAACCTCACCCCATGAGCTGAAGGAGGCATTTCTTCAACATGATGTGACGTTATAGTAGAACTTCAGCCCGTTTTCTCTGATATCCTCTGCAGTGAATGCTTCTCGGTGCAACTGTTGCACTGATGATCCCTTTGCTTTCCTTTTCAGGGGTTCACAGGATCCGAATCCCGCGCAGTCGGAAGGTACTGATCCCATTTTAACTCGGTTCTCCAGCAGATTCTTACTGCTGCTTTTCTAAATCTATATTTGAGAAGAGGAATTTGACATTTCTAAAGAGAAATAAAAAGAATAAGTTAATGAGCACCTGCCTGATAACAAGAAGCAGGCTTTCAGATCTCAGAAAGGACTCCCTTATGCTTTAATCTGAGGAGACTCCAGAACAGAAGAGTAAAAAAGGGGTTTTAATAGTGTTGCACCGATACCGATACCAAAAGTTTATTCAACTATTGTCATCCATTCCAGGTTGGCAATAAAAAGTTCTACTGGATTCACTTTTAGTCTTTTTCCTGCTTCACAAAGGTAGGCAGACAAAGACATGATGGCAATTATTTTACATCCAAGCAGTGTTGGGCTAACCTGACTCCGCCAGATGGATTTGCTCCGCATATCCATCTGGAAACCTTCCGTTGAAGTAATTTTGGGAAGGGGCGAAAATACTGGTTAGCTGANAAAAACACTAAGATTTATATATCAATATATCCACGAATTCCTGTATTTTCACTTTAACTTGATCGTTTTCCAGCTGATGGGAGAAACAGACCCAGATGAAACAAAGCAGCATGGTTCACCAACCTGAAATATGACATCAGAATGTGAGTAGAAACCCTGCAGAAGGTCTGATGTGTTACATTCATCTGTTTTCTGCTCCAGAAGGACCTTTCAGAGGAGGATTTCAGGTCGGAGGTCACACAGGTCCATAAGGTGAGGTTGACTAGAATAACGATAAACCCACAGATGGTGAATAGAAGCTTGTTCTAAAGGCTCAACATGCAGGTTTGCTTTGTTCCTGTAGGAGTTCACGTTGGAGACGTTTGCAGGTCCGGTGTTCGCCAACCTGCGGGGATCCTTAGGAATAACAGAGGAGGAATATCAGCAATCTCTGTGCTCCGAAAGCTGCTACCTCCAATTTATCAGCAACTCGAAGAGCAAAGCAGACTTTTTCCTCACGTAAGCTTCATCCTAATAAGGATTCTGCTGAATACTGAGAACTCTGCATGTGGCGCCGTATTCAGGCTGGATGAAAACACTGATGCATCAATCCTGACTCAGGACTTTCTTCTTCGGTTTGTGTTTGAAGGGAACATTTTAGCTCGTATACGATCAATATCTGTAATTTATGAACAGCGATTCAGGCTTCATCATAGGATGTTCTCCTGCTGATGGAACCACATCATCTCAGTCCAGAAACACATTTTATAGATTGGATCAAAAAAGCCTGGAGGTTTGTTTCTTTTTCTGTTTTCTTTCAATGATAAACTTAAACGTGACATTTTAGTTTAGAATATTTGATCAGATCAATAAAAAAATGAATACAGGTGTAAAGTATGTCTAATGCCTGCTAGCAGGTTTTCACATTTTCATATTTCTATTTTATGATGAAAATTGAAATCTGGAAAAGAAAAAAAAATTGTTAAAAATAGAATAAAAAATGAAAAAGATCACATTGTTTTTACTTTCTGGGATGTGATTTCCTGTGGAATGAGAAGCAAAGACATATTTCTATTGGTCGGCACAAAAGTTTTATTGACCAAGAACGAGTATTTGATATATTATATTATATTACGTTATATTATATTAATTCATTATATTATATCATAATATTATAAGTGTATTTGAGGGCTGTACAGTGGGGCAGTGGGTAGCACTGCTGCCTTGCAGCAAGAAGGCTCTGGGTTTGATTCCCGGGGTTTGACGTTTGCGTGTTCTCCCTGAGCATGCATGGGTTCTCTCCGGGTACTCCGGCTTCCCTCCAGCTTCTTATTGCCCTGCAATGGACCCAGGCTGGACCCCACCTCTCGCCCGTAGACAGATGGAGATGCATCAGCACCCCTCGCCACCCCGCTTGGGAAAAGCGTGGCGGAAAATGGACGGATACGCGTATTTGGTTTGAAGGGAAGAGATACGTAAAATGCAGTTTGGAAAGAATGTAGTTCTTAATACTTAATCTAAAAAAATAAATAAAAAATCTCAAATCTGAACAAAAAAATAAATTTTAATAAAGAAAATATGAAAAAAAAGTTGAAAAAATAACATCTGAGAAAAGAGCACATTTTCTCTGTAAGCCTTTTTTTTTAAAGATGAGAACTTTTCAAAATTTAATTTCTGGATTGCATTTATTTCTTTTTTCCATTTGCAACAATTGTGGTTTAAATTTGACTCCGTGCCGCGTAGCGGGTGCTTAGTCGTCTGCATTGGTTCCTTTCCTTCGTTTGTTACACGGCGATT